CCTCATTGACTGCTTTATTATAGCATGAGCAAATCTTTGAGTCTCATAATTTAGTCATTGCCAGTTTCAACAGCTTGCTTCATATCTTCAACATAGGAAAAATCAGATTCACATATTTTCATAATTGTGTTTGCTTTTGTAGGTTCCTAATCATATATAAAATTTTATTGGTAAAATAGATTGTCCTTTGTTGCTGCTACTGCACTTATTCTGATATTCTAATTTTTACTAAAATCTAAGATTATTTGTTTAAATTTCTAATTGCATGCCAATGCATCAACTTTTGTCTTTTTTTGATAGAATATGCTGCAAAATTGGTGTCTTCAGCTTAAACTATGATGTACAGGGTTTGTCCCTAAAGTAATGAGACTGGGTCTGCAAAGGCTCTTTGTCAGTCAGCTGCCATAACCTCTTTCACTATATTCCAAATTCACGGCATTGGATGGCGCGAACATCTTCAAAGTGGTGACCTTTCGGTTTTCTCTTGAGCTTTTAGAACAGGAAAGTGTCCGCCAGGCTCACATCAGGACTGTAAAATGACTGCAGCAAGGATGCAAGCCCCATCTGGGCCAGCTAGGCGGTTACAGCGAAGGCTGTGTGGACTGGAGTATTGACATGGTGGAGCATCCAGCAATCAGCAATCTTCAGTTGTTTCCATTTGATGGTTGTGCGCAGGCATCCAAAGATTTTTTTATAGAAAACGGCATTGAAGGTGTATCCCAGAGGTACAGATTTTTCATGAACCATTTCATGCTTGTCAAAAAAAAAAAAAAAAAGGGCAATGAACATTGCCTTTAAATTGGATTTCAACATTCTCATTTGCTTGGAGCTTGGGGGATTCAAGCTGTGGCTTTCCGAACATTGGTGCTTGGTTTTGGGGTTATACTGGAATACCCATGGTTCATTGCCTGTTATTATGTTGTCTAAAAAATCCGATTCACTTTCTAACTGCTCCAGCATATTAACGGGAAACGTCAACTCCTCGTTGTTTTTGTTCATCACTCAACACTTTTGGAACCAATTTCATACCAAACTTCTGCATGTTCAAATTTTGACAAATAATTTTGGGAGCCATTGTTTTGCACATGTTGAGGTCTTCGGTGATTAATCTTACGCTCAAACAATGCTTGGAGTCCAAGAGATTTTTAACTTTTCACATTTTCATAAAAAAACCACTCACTGAAAGACATCCAGATCACTCCATGTCTTCAATGGTCTCCCGTCCATTCTTGAACTCACTGAACCACTGGAAAACTTGGCCCTTGATCTTGATAGGGCATCATATTTGTAAGCAAGGCAAGCATCTCAGAAGCAGTTTTGCTCATGTGAAAGCAAAGTTTAAGCTCATAGCACTGCTTCAGCGAATGCTCCATTTTTCATTCTTTCTGCCATTACAAAAACTGAAAAACAGCTTTGCTACATGTGATCCTCACTTTGTCAGAGCTTAAAAGAGACTGATACCTGGTGCATTACTTAACTTAGCGCCCCCATAACAAATCCCGCTACTGAGTAGCATGCTGCTGGCTACTGGAGCATCACGGGGCAGCCAGTCTCATGCAATTTCAGACAAACCCTGTATTGCTGCTAACTGCCATTTGATTGGTTCAAAACAAAGCCTGCAGTCAACAGGAAGATTGTATAGGCTTAGTTTAATTGGTTATGGCTAAGCATTCTAGGGCTTTCTACCTGTGAGAAGGGATGCCTTTCTGAAAGACTTTAAAGGGAGACTGGCCCATGTTTATGTAACACATGAAGAAACCTTCTTGCAGCCAGCCTGTTTCAACATTAGGAATAGAAATGGAGACAAACTACCTTTAATTGATATTTTACATGTTCTGATATATAGCATATTCTCGGTATGTTGCTATTTAGCTGAACATAAGATCCTTAACTTCTTGTAAATGTAATCAGCATTAATATTTAACTATTTGAGCATTTTAAGAACAATATGTTGTTTTTGTGCAATTAATTTATCTTCTTTATGTTTTCATTTGTAACTGATTGTTACTGTGCTGACATTTGGCAAAGCTGAATATCGCAAATTTATCACTCAAATCAATCATTTTGTCACATTAAAAAAAAATGTGATTTAAAAGCAATAAACTCCCTTCTTAATAATTTTGATCATTTTATGTCCATTTGCAGCTGTGTTGTAATTATATTTCTAATAAATTATGTTTCATTCTGATAAAAAATTATTTTTAATGATGTTTTATGTTTTTAAATTTTTAATACTTTTCAATTTTTTAAAATTTTTAAAGATAAATTCTTTTTTAAAGTGTTGGACTGTAATTTGAAGTCTTCAGACTGTTTTCTTAATCTTTTTATTTCTGGATTAAATTTATATTTTAACTGATGTGTAAATATTGTATTTAATGAAACAATGTTTTCAATTAGCATCTGAATATAACGAACTGAGAAATTTCAAAAGGTTTCTACGATTATGACTACATTGCTGTAAAATAAGCCTTGCACATATTTTTGTAACTTGAAGCTGAAAATATTTACATCTATTGGAAGTACAAATAAGTATTCACTGTTTAAAAAACAATGGCACCACCTGTAAGTTGTGGTTTAAATTATCTGATGTAAGGATCGGAAGGTTGGACATCTGCTGATAACATAACCTTGAAATAGTAGTGATTCTGTATCAGCATCATATTTCTTTTTGTACAAAAATGTCGAGTTTTGAGCCGAACGAGCATCATTTGCGGGAACTTTTGATTTACTTGAATTTGAAGAAATCTGCAGCTGAGGCACAGCAGTTGCTTATAGAAGCATATGATAAGGCGACCGTAAGTGAGAGAAGTTGTCATAAGTAGTTTCAAAAGTTTACGAACAGTTAATTTGATGTTGAAATGGAGCAGAAGAATGAAATGTAATTGGAAGACGTGGTAATTGGAAGCACTGTTGGATGAAGATTCATGCTAAATGCAAGTAGAACTTGCACTTACGTTGGGAGTGACTCAACAAGCATGATTGAAAAGCAAGGAAATTTGGTTCCATATGAGCTGAAGTTGAGAAACATTGAACAGCAATTTTTTACATGTGAAATGCTGCTTGTCAGGCATAAATAAAAGGATTTTTTTGCATCGTATGGTCACTGGTGATGAAAAATGGATCCACAGTGATACCCAAAAGAAGAAATCATGGGGAACACTTGGCCAAGCTTTAACATTGACAGGCAAGCCGAATATTCATGGGAAAAAAAAAGTCCTCTTGAGTGTGTGGTGGGATCAACTAAGTTTCATGTATTATGAGTTGCTTAAACCAAACAAAATTGTTATTGGGGCTTTCTACCAAACACAGTTGATGAGACTGAGCCAAACACTCAAAGAAAAATTTACCCTCTACTACTCCAGACATGACAACACTATTCCCATGCATGATGTCGCTCATCAGCAGCTTGCAGTGCTGGTCAAAACCTACTCAGAAACACTCAAATGAGAAGTTTTCCCTCTCCAACTGTATTTACCAGACATTACTGCTTCTGATTATTACTTGTTTCAATTGATGATACATGGCCTTTCTGAGCAGCATTTCACATCATATGAAGATACCAAAAATTGGATTGATTTGTAGATAGCCTCGAAAGATGAAGACTTCTTCCAATGCAGTATCCATATGCTGCCAGGAGGATGGAAAAAAGAAGTGATTAGTGATGAACAATACTTTGAATAAAATGTAACATACCATTCTTTCACTACAAATGCCCAATTTTTGATAAAAAATAGCTAAAACGATATTGAAATGAACCTATAAAGTTCTCATGAGCTTTTGCCATATTCATTTAACCAAAAATCTATCATCAAAGTGAGGAAAGTAAGATATATCACTACATGATTTTTTATTACTATGCTCTCTGTTAAAGTTTCTTATGAAACAAAATTTTATGTATCACTTAATTTTAAAGTTTTAAAAAAAGCATGTAAACTGTCAGGATATCTCATTGTTTTCATCATTTCATACTTATAGTTAGATTTATGCAGTGTGAGACAGAATACCAGTTCTTCAGGCAAACTGATGCCGTAGTGGAAAAATCTGAAGAATTTGGTCACTTTCCTCTCTTTATGTAGATCAACTGCATACTAAGTATTATAAATGTGAAAAAGTTTCATTTAATCTTTTTTTAAGCAAAAATTATGGAGTTAGGGGGGAAAGACACAATTGGTCATTAAACAAAATACAAAATTAACTTATTTTGGGAAAACAGAATAAGGAGATTATTTTTATTTGACTAACTTCCGTGCTAAAAAATAATACTTTTCTCGAAGGAAAAAATTTACACTTAAAAGAATCAGGATGTACATTAAGAGCTAAGCAGTAGTAATTAACTGCAGTTATACTATATATAGTTAGTACTTGGTTCCTTACATGATGAGGGTAGACAAGCCACCATGACTTTTGCTGTTTTTAGAGAAAAAATGGCACCACTGAAGGTCACCATTGATATTACTAACCAAGATTTCAGGAGTAAACAAACCCATGTATACTGTCTATACAACACATACTTACTTTTCTATTAATGTATATATTTGCTAGATAAGTAATGATATTATTAATATGCTGTGTAGTCATGACAATTAAATGTATAAATGTTGTGAATTAAATGAAGTAAATATGTGTAGTATATTTGTATTGCCTTGTAGTAAGCTGTTAAATATGGGGCACACCTATTCATTATATTCGTCTAAATTAATTAAAAATTTCTTCTTCAGTATGCTATACTTTTTTATCCTATTAAATTATTTAAACAAATGAAAAAATAAAAAAATCACAAATAAATTGACCCCAAAAGAACAAATGATTCCAATATTTTAGAATTTATCATAACTGAAGTGTAGATAATTAAAGTTCGACATTAATGTTTTATATTAAAGAAACAACTGATATTTTTTATATTAGATGTTTTTATAAGTTATGTGCTTTATTAGAAATAAGCTTTATTGAATTTTTGAATTATATATACAGTATTTATTATTTCTTCTGTATCCATTTAGTGATCCCAAGATACCCTTGATGGATCCAGATTGCTATAATGGGGCTCATTATGAGGGGTACTCATGGGCACAAACCTTGAGAGATATTGATGTTCGAGTAAAAGTAAGCATATGAAAATTTTCTTGTGTGAAGATTTTAAAGCATAGATTTGGTTTAATAATACTTTTGCCATGACTGTGATTTAATGTATCTGAAATTATGAAAGAAAGTTTTGAGAAGTAAGCCAAAATTTAAATCTATGTATTAATCACAAGCCTCGTAGCCTATTATATTTTAGCATTTTTAATATATTAATTAAATCCATGAATGAGTTTGATTATGAATCAAAGATTGCAATTAAAATAAGTGTAATTAAATTATATGTTTATTAGGAACATGTAATTATAATTACAGTATTTCTGATCGCAAGGTACACGATTACAATATGATTACCTACTAGCATTTATGATTATACTGTAATTAAAATTATAATGTAATTTAATTACATAATAGGAAAAATAATTGCCAATGACAGTTGCAATAACATAGATATAATCATGATTATGCTTAAAAAATAACAATAGAATCCAGTTTTTCAGGTGTTAAACTGGTTGCCATTTTTTTGGATAACAAATTATTGACTAATAGAAAAGAGTGATCCCTATTAGAGAAATGTTACTATTTTCTGACTGCAATCACGTTGCTTCTGTGTGTATTCTAGTTGTAGCTATAAATTATGAACTAGTTATTTATTAAATGTTATATATTGTTATAAAATGTAAAGGCGCGGTGAGATAACTTCCCCACACAGCAGGTTTAGGGTTGCCATAAAATGCCAAGGGAAGGCAGAGTGTCCACATTTGGCAAGAAATTGCCCATTTGGCGACAAAATTGGTGATATACTGTGGACGGTTGGAGAACCTTCTGGAATGAATTCTTACCGGTTTAGCTCAGAATGTTCTTGAACACAAGCCGAAAACCCTGCTGGTCCGCAGTCAGTCAGAGTGCCTCGTATAGAGTGAAAGTCAGAGTGTGCCTCGTCTAGAGTGGGAGATAGTGTGTCTCATGTAGTTAGTCTGTGTGGAGTCGATCGAGTTGACAGCCGGGCAGCAAGTGCCGAGTGGGTCGTCGAGTGCACCGAAGGAGTCTCTTAGTGTATCGTGGTTAGTGCATCATCGAGATAGTGCACTGAACTCCGCGAACGACTGAATCGAAGAGTCGGGAGCTGTGCTCTGTGTGTCATTGAGTGCATCGCGAGTTGTGTCATAGAGAGTCTCGAGAGTATGCGGAGTTCCGAGAACGACCGAGCAGAATCGGGAGCTGTACTCTGGTACTTTGCAGTGAAGCTGTCTCCACCATTATTGTCTGACACTGTGAAGGCTGTGTGGCTGATTGTTTCAGCGTGTGTATAGTAGATCTTCGATGACTGTAAAAAGTGACTTTGGAGCTGTCCTGATTAATATTGGCTAAATAAAGTGTGTTTCGATACTTCATCATGAAGTGTCATTGTTATTCACTGCAAATCCATACGAACCCCGTACGAACGTGAAGGAAGAAAATAATGTAACAACAGGTGTCAGAAAAGAAAAACACAACAATTGGTGTCAGAAGTGGGATTTGCAAGTGAATGCCAGTGACCTGCCTGAAGGAAAAAAGCCATGGCGGAGGAAACGAAGACTTTGATGGACTTCTTAGCCGAGATGAGGGCTGAGATGAAAGCCGGACAGGAAGAGATAAAAGCTGAAATGAAAGCTGGATATCAAGAGATGAGAGCTGAAATGAAAGCCAGATATCAAGAGATGAAGGCTGAGTTAAAAGCCGGTCTGGAAGAGATCAAAGCCGGACTGAAGGAGATGAAAGCCACACTGGAGGAGAAGAACGCCGGACGAGAAAAAATAAATGTCGGCCAAGAAAAAGTGCGAAAGCAACTCCCACAGATGAAAGTGGAGCCTACAGAAAAAACTAGAGCCATAAAAGATGATGTGGCCCAATATTTTAAATACGATAAAAATAGTTTTATTTAGTTTTAAAGCTGTTTTTCTTGTTCTTGTGTATTATAAATACGTGAATAATAATTGGGTTTTAAAAAATTAACTTCCAAAATAATCTTAGAGTTAAAATTAAGATAAATGAAAATAATAAAAAAATAAACATCATGCCTTTAAGTTTCATTGCATCTCTAATACACAATGCTTATTTTATTTCTTTACACTTTGAACGAAATACATTCATGTGTTCTTGGCACAGAATGTTTTCACATTTTAAACATTGCATTCACGTTCTTCTGTCCTTGGCGCTAGGGCAATTTATCACATCTTTGATACTTAGTTGTTTCGAATTTCATGTATTTGTTTTAATTCTTCGTCAAAACTGCTTTTGTTTTGCATGCAGTACATCAGTTTCTTGGTAAAGTATTAATCTCTGATCTTTGTTCAATACTTTTTTCATTAATTGTAATGCCAAGTCCTTCAAAAACAGATTTCTGTTTCTGGTTGGTGGATTAGCAGTTGAATGTAATATAATTCAAGCATTTATTACAGCAACATTCAGTGCAGTGAAAAAAAAATACCATTGGCCACCTCCTTGTTATTCTGGCAATTGAATAATTGGCTGACATTTCATCTCCCATATCCACTGCTCCTTTAGTCACATTATAAAAACATGTAATTCCTGACGTTTTATTTTCTCCAATATCTATAGTATGATTGTTATATACTGTTGATATCATAAGAACAGTTTTTCCTTTTTTAGGAACATTAGGAATTAATGTTTTATCTTTTTCAAAACCAAAACAGTGTAGAAAATATTCCTAGTTTCATCTTCAGTTTCCAAAATGCAATCTTCATCGCTTACAAATATTTCTAATAAATCTCACAGGCATTGCATCTCCAATTCATAGGGAGTCATTCTTTTTACCATAATGCGGTTAGAAATTTTTAAGAATTTAATGTCAAGTACTTTAAAATCACTTGCGAGTAGAAATATTTTTTCATTAATACGCTTTCTGACTAAAAATTTAATTCTGAAATTTATTTCTAGAGCTGTTACGCTGTAGAAATAAATTTCAGAATTAAATATTTAGTCAGAAAAACACTTATGCGGACAGGCACGTGGGGTGTGTCATACCCCAGTTCCAACAAAATACCGATAAATCTTTTTCTGAAACACACAGGCAAAGAAAACGCGGTTCTGAAATTCAACCACAATTAGAAACTCAGCTACTGAATGCAGCACAGAATTTCAGTTTCACAAGTTAGGAATATCCCACTTTTATGTAGAGGTGGGGTATGATACACCCCACGCGCTTTCCCGCAGGTTAAAGGAAAAGAACGAAAACATGAAGAAATAAAAGACGGCAAAAGAAGCTTTTGATTCTCAAGCTTCTGAAGTGGAAGAAAGTGAAAATACAACTGTTAAGTTTGTCACAACTGATAGTGAAGTTACGAAGTTGCAGGCAATATGAGTTGAACCATCTGAAAGTGCATGTGATGCAGAGAGGGAAGAAGCTGATGTGCAGCGTAAGCAGTGTACTCTCATATTGCAGGAAAATTCATCCACTTCACAAACTGGGTGTGCGCCTCATAGTGCAGGTTTTGCAGACAAGGACTTTATTCTAAACCTGGATACTTCTGCTTGTAAAGGATTGGATTCTATTCATGAACCTGGTGTAAACATTCGAACTGGCTTTCAGGAAATAGAGGTAAATGAACATGTACTAGCTGCTGAAAATGCTGAGGAAAACTGTACACAGGATGCGAAAGAACAAACTATAGAGCGGTAAACAAAATGTCTCAGATCTTCCTGTGGATGAAAGGTCTGAATCTTCAGACTGTGATCTGCAAAACAGAAATGTATCTGAGAACTGCAGTGGAAAAGTATTTTACCTGGGTATAACTTCATGAAAAGACTGAGACTGAAATTCATTCTTAACTTTAATTTGTATAATTTAAAACTGTGATGTGTTTAATTTGTGTATGTAACTTGTACATAGTGTAAATATTTGTTTCTTTAGTTATGTTATCTGTATGTTTTAAAGCGATTTGATTGTATCAAATTTGGCTTCTGACCAAGGGTAGTACTGCCCGGGACGTGCAGTCCTTGGGAGGGGGCAGTGTTACAAAATGTACAGGCATGGTAAGATAGCTTTCCCACAAAGCAGGTTTAGGGTTGCCATAAAATGCCAAGGGAAGGCAGATTGACCACATTTGGCGAGAAATCGCCCATTTGACGACAAAATTGGCAATATACCATGGACGGTTGGAAAACCTTCTGGAACGAATTCTTACCGGTTTAGCCCAGAAAGTTCTCGAACACAAGCCAAAAGCTATATAAACCCTGCTGGCCTGCAGTCAATCAGAGTGCGAGATAGTGTGTCTCATCCAGTTAGTCCGTGCGGAGTCGATCGAGTTGACAGCCGGGCAGCAAGTGCTGAGTGGGTCGTCAAGTGCACCAAAGGAGTCTTAGTGTATTGCGGTTAGTGCATTGTCAAGAGAGCATGTTGAACTCCAGGAACGACTGAACCAAAGAGTCGGGAGCTTAGCTCTGTGTGTCGTCGAGTGCATCGCGATTTCTGGCATGGAGAGTCTCGAGAGTACGGGGAGTTCTGAGAGCGACTGAGCAGAGTCGGGAGCTGTACTCTGATGCTTTGCAGTGAAGCTATCTCTACCATTATTGCCTGACAGTGTGAAGGCTGTGTCGCTGATTGTGTCAGCGTGTGTGTAAGAGATCTTCGATGACTGTAAAAAGTGGCTTTGGAGCTGTCCTGATTAATATTGGCTAAATAAAGTGTGTTTCGATACTTCATCATCAAGTATCGTTGTTATTCACTGTAAATCCACATGAACCGTGTACGAACGTGAAGGAAGAAAATAACATAACAACTGGTGTCAGAAAAAAAAAAACGCAACAATATATTTACAGTAAGCAAATGAAAGAAATATAGATAAAAGCAGAATACTTATACATGAACTGCTTTTCGCTGTTTCAGATAGAAGTAAATAAACATAACTTTGTTAAACGAAACTGTGTTCTTATATGTTCATCAACAAAGTTCTTATATGTTCATCATTTAAATTACTTAATTATTGGCAAGCTTAAAGAAGGCTGTAGACATCTGGGATGGGTTGCTTTTGAGGAGACTGGTTTTGCTTTGTTACAGAAAAAGTAAATCATGAATTGTATATTACTCTTTCATTAAATACAATACATATTTTCAACCAATAATTTAAAAGGCATTATTTACTTAGAAGCAGATGTGCATCTGCAGGAACTATTTTTTGCAGCTTGCATGCATAGTATTTTTAAGCAAAAGTGTGACCATTGCTGATAAAAGAAATGGCTATATTTCCTGAGACCATCCTGCTTAATTGCTGTGTAGATATTAATTTGCAGTAATATTATAATTTATGGTTTAAGGTTATTAAATACAATATCTGTGTTCCGAGTTACAAAGACATTTTGTGATAAGTAAGTGGCTTGATTGTGCAGGAATTATTTCAGGTAGAAATAAATCTGTATAAATTCTTAAGCAAAAATATGAGTGGATTATTTGTTTACTCTGTTGTGATAAAGCTCCAGAAGGATATCAGCCTAAGGAAGAAAATACCTCTTCATGGAAGGTTTTTTGATAGAAACTTGTTTGTATTCATGTTTGCATTTTGTTATATCTGAAGAAAAGCACAAAAAGGGGGTTGAGAAAAACATGCACACAGCTCTTTTTTTTTTTTTTTTTTTTTTTTTTTTTTTTGATTTGATACTGAATCGAAATATAATTGTTCAGCAGTCTTATCCTCTTATCAGCTGAGTAAGAATTTTATTTTAATTTTTATTATATTGTAATTGTAATAAATGTAAGTGCAGTTGCATTGCAAATACAATTGTAGGTACAGTAATTGCAGTTTTAATTTGAAGTAATTTACAGTATATTATATTTACAGTACAAATGGAATTCCATTATAATTGAGTTATATCATGGTCATAGTTAAACTGTAGTTGCATAAAATTGCAATGCATTTACACAATAATTATATTAAATTTTAATTTGCAATTATGTTGTAATCATTTTCAATCACAGTGGCATTGTTACTAAATTTACTGTAATTGGAATTACATCACTTTGAATGTGATTCCAATTATATTATAATTTAATTAAATTTGAATTGATTATGTATTGTCTTTCAGTTTATGTTTTCAACTGTGCAAGTTAAAGTTTAGTAATTTTTTCATGATGTGAATTTTCACAAGTATCTAATAAATCTGAGAATTTTATTTTTTTTTTCCTTAGAATTTTCAGATGTCTATAATAATTGTTCAATTATTATTATTATTATTATTTTATATTTAAACAATTGGAAATCTGCCATTATTAGAATTTATATGAAAGTTAAATTAAGATACTACTACCTGAAAATGCTCATCAAAACCTTGAACTCTAATCTTCAAGATTTCAAGCTAGATTCCAAGCCCAATGAAAGTTTACAGCATTTTTGAAACGCACACATACATGCATACATGTGTCCCCCCTTCTCCCAAGAATCTATTTTTCTTAATTATTGTGGAATGGTCATCTGTTATTACTCACTACCAAAATAAATAAATAAATGTTGATGCTGAGTGATTGACATTTTTCTGATTTAAAAAAAGTGTTACAAGAGAGCAGGTATTGGCTTAAAATGAAACCCTTTCCTCATGTAATGATGTTGATAACATTTGCCAAGATGTTCTTAGTTTTTAAATCATAAGTGTCATTTTAAAAATGTATAATTCATTATTTATAATGCTTATTCATATCTTTATTATTATTATTATTATTATTTTTCAATGTGTGAAATTTTGACAAAACTTTTAAAGGGAAACTGTTATAATTTTGCATTATTGAAAGTTGATGATTTTCCACATAATTGGTTTGTGAATTTTGAGTGTTTTAATCCATGACAAAATGAAATTATTATTTTGTGCTTTTGAAATTGCTTTCTCCTTATATTTGCCAATTCTCAATTTGAATCTAAATGTATATTGGTATATGAGCTGTAACCATGTTGGTTTAGAATACAGTTTTTGAAATCAATACAAATGACTCCTTTAATAATGCATTTTGTATATTATACAAGGTTTTATATTTATTGATTGCCAATTCCCAATTTAGGTTTAGAATACAGTTTTTGAAAACAATACAAATGACTCCTTTAATAATGTATTTTATATATTATACAAGGTGTTATATTTATTGATTGCCATATGGTATCTTAAATTTTCTGGGGATATGTAATCAGAAGTAATTGTGTGTATGCTGTTTTTAGCTTTTCAAATCTAAATTCTTTTAAAGATTTTTGGTACTTTTCTGTTATTGAGACCAGATTCAGAAATGCATGTATTTATGCATGTGTGTATGTTTGTATGTACACACACGTTTAAATAATTTTGTAGGAGGAGGCTTAAAATATTTTAAATTTCTTTTTTTAAATTTTGTTCTTATTTGAATGATGTAAAAACTAAATATTTTGAATACTAAAAGTATGTTACCTTATGTTAACATTAAGAACTGAGGGAGAAATAAAGGGAGATATAATTTTTAGAGAAACTGTACTTTTGGTTTTTATAAATCAAATAAGTTGCATTTTAAAAATCAGAAAAATTCATAAACTTAATTTTGAATGTTTATTTTGATTATGATCGTGTAAAATGATGTAATTTTAAAGTCTTTAAATTTTCTGTGTACATTATTATATTTGTAGGTCCCTGCTAATGTAACATCTGCAAAGCAAGTGCATGTAAACATTCGACAAACAAGTTTAAGCACTGAAGCTCTGTCAAATAATGAATGGAATCAGCTGAAAGGTGGTGATTTGACGTGGAAGGTTAATGTTGAAGAATCAACATGGACTCTTGTACCTCGAGAACACATCCATGTAAGTACATTTTTATTGTTGTCAATAACTTAAATGATTAATATCCATCTAACCGTATAAGTGAACTGTGCTGTGGTGTACAGGTATCTACAGTCTGTTTATGATGAAGTAAAATTATTTTCATGGTTTGTGTATTGCCTGAAAACTTTAAAACATTGTAAGAAAACTCTGAAATGTGTCTACAAAGCATGTTTTTTGATATACTTGCAAAACTCATGAAAATTACTAGGAAATATTGCCTCGTTTGGAATTGAAGATATATAGCTGAGAAATTGGACATCAGTGTGTTTTGTGTAGTTTCTTTACTTTTAGTGCCTAGGTAAAAGACTGCTTGCATTAATTAAAGAAGGGAATTTAACACACACAGTTTTAAGTCATGCTCTTTATCTACATGGTTTCACCAAAAAATAAATCAAATCAAATTTTGACAGTACAGATTATATTGTTACATATGTATGGGTTTGTAATGGATTGAATGCATACAGAGCCAGTGATAGTCTGACAAAATTTATTTCCCAAAAGAAATGTTTCTCATTTTGGAATTTTTTATAAAAATACTCCTATAGCTCTTCTCAGTATGACAGAGCACAATCAGTAGTTACCACTTGAAACTATATAGTCGTATATAGTTTTCCCCAGGCTGCCGAGAAATTTTGAATACCTTCAATTTTTCAAAATTGTTGGAAGGCATATACAGTCACATAATGGGGTCAGTTACAATTACAGTTAGATATAGAGATCATACAGGGATCAAACCAAAATGTTGCTAAATGTTCACCAAGTTTGGTGACTTTTGGCAGTTTCTCACCAAATTGGGCAGCAAAATTAGTTACCTCAATGTTAAATGGACCTGTCCCTGTAATCTTATTTTTCCAGCAGAACTTCACATTCTCATGTCATTTCATGTTACAAGAGATATTGCAATTTTACACATAACTTCACTAAAACTATTTACATGTATACAAAATTCGTAACATTGCTCCCTTCCCAAGGCCTGTATGCCCCAGGCAGTACAATTTGTGGACAGAAAGCCATACTTACAACTGAAGGAAAATCAGCACAGTACTGAAATAATATTTTCAATAAATATTGTACAACAAATCAGATATTAAATCAATAAATAAAAGCATAACTTTACAAATTTATATACCCATAAGACCATGGTCTTAGTAAAACTATTTACATCTGTATAGGGACTACATGCAGTGGTCATAACCTGTTCTAATGAATGAGTTTAGGTGTATAATTTAATGACTTGCAGATGTGAACTGCAATTTCGTTCGTCCTGTTTATGACTGTGTAAGGACTGCCCCATGGTGATTGTAGTTTAGGAGAAAGTCTTTTCTGTCAAATCAGATTCCATAACCACACTTTAACACCTTTGTTTAATTGATGCCCTGTAGCTCTCATGTCATATTGGGTCTTCATTTTCTCCATTGCTAAGTTATGCATTCTCCAATAATTTCAATGTTAGGTTCTCATAGTTCAAAGACATAGATTGGAGAAGAACTACTGGTTTGTGCAACACAGGTCGTTGGAGTGCATGTGGCAATCACTTCACCTTTCCTAACGATTTTTGTTTTATTACTACTTATGTTGGCAACTGTCACCAGAATAACAGTCCTTGATAGGTGGATAAGTGCTGAGGCTAACAGTACTCTTTTCAGGATGTTACAGTTCTTAGGCTATTCTATTATGCAATATAAGAAATTTCTGTTTTCAGTTATGGGTAAAAACCAGGTAGTAAAAATTCTCTTCTTGCTGGTATTGTGATATCCTCTGAAGCCATTATATGGTGGACAGATTTAACTCCTTTATCTTTAAATCTGAACAGGGTTATGCCCTCAGAGGCAGAATGCACAATTTTATCCCTGGACATAGTTTGGAGGGTAACATAAGGGAATGTCCAGATGAGTTGACCTTCCAGTTGTTGAGCCAAATCTTTTCGGATGATTGTAATGCAGGCTTCTTTATTGATAGTCATATTGCAAGGAACTTCATTTATATGTCTCATTATGAAGTGTCCATTACTGCTACCACTCATTGCAGAAATCTGAAGCGCTTTAAAATGGGGCTCCACAGTATCTGGCAGCCTCCATTCCATGAGATGCCACTAATTTATTTTCCACATCCTCGATGGGTTTTTGAGCTTCCATGCATTGGGGTGTTCTACAGTTCCACTGTATATGGCCTTCAGCACTGCAGTTCCAGCACATTAGGGTCGCTTTGTTGCCACTTCTATTTCTCGTCAAGGCATTGACTTGATTTGTTAAATTTTCAGAAGAGCAGCCATTTGATCTACTGGCTCCTGGACTTCACTAGCTCTGACTGGGTGGTGGTCTCTGAGTTGCTTGCTGGGCTGCCTCAAATTTCATTATGTACACTAATGCACTTTTTAAATCCTTGACCTCTGTCATATGCAGGGCTTTCTGCATCTCAGTATCTGGATGCCTTTTTAAATCCTTGACCTCTGTCATTTGCAAGGCTTTCTGCATCTCAGAATCTGGATGAAGTATTGTAGGGACAAGATTTCTGTTTCTGATGAGCAGTCCAAAAAGGTGAGATGAGACAGCCTTTCAACATTCATGGCAAGCTCTTGGAGTGTTTCTGTTACCTTCTCTTGGTGAGATTTTAATTAAAGTTTGCTTTAAATTTTTAAACACTTCTTGCCAAACCACAGCTCCATTTAATTTTCATTTTTCTTGACTTGTGGAATCTTTTATTAAACTGACTTGATGGCCTTTTCCATCTTTTCTTGTCTCACTTCCATCTTTCTTGGAATGCAGTCACCAGCTGCCTTAGTTGCTCCTCTGTCGTTCCTGATATCGTCATTCTTTCCCTCTTCTGACACTGAGTGTTATGTGGCAATTATGGCCAATTTGGCAAGTTAGTTATTTACTTCAGTGTTAAATAGGCCTGCCCCTGTAGTCTTATTTTTTCTTCAGAGTTTTGTGTTTTTGAGGCATTTCATAAATACATTATACAAGAGGCCTACCCCTATAGTCTTATTTTTTCGGCAGAGCTTTGTGTTTTTGAGGCATTTCGTAATACATTATACAAGAGATACTACAATTTTGCATATACACAGAACATGTAACAATATTTATAATTATATGTATAAGCTAATAGTATTTTATGCTTAATCCTTTAATAATTCTTTTAATATTTTTGAAAACATAAAAACATGTTTATTTTTAGTTTTATTTAAGTTGATTTTTTTGGTGTGAGAATCAAATTTTAAAATGAATTTTTCCTGCACATTTGCAGAGTTAATTTTCTTGAAATTTTATATACATATTTATAAAGATAATACAATATTTAACCATAGTTTTTATAAAATTTGGTATGGACTTTTTAATTTAATGTTGAAATTATTTATTATGTATTTTTTGCACATATCTTCACTTAACAACAAAACTAATCATCTCAGGATTTTAGTCTTTACACCTGTGGATTTTTCTGATTGCTATATGTTCCAAATTTCTAACATTATTTACTGATTTTGGGCAGTTTTTTCAAAGTGATTAATTAACATCCTGTAAATGTAGTCACTTGTTATGAATTATATTTTTGTTTTGAATACATTTCCCCAATTATTTTAGTGCCAATGTTGTCTAAATTTCTATTCTTTCTGTTTTTTAAAAATTTAGATTTGCTTACAGAAGATTCAAGAGAGGTGGTGGGATTCACTGTTTGTTGGGGAACCTAAAATTGATTTAAAAACAATAGATCCATCGATCGCTTATGAAGATTTGGACCAAGATTCGCAAACCAAAATTGAGCAACTTATGTATAATGAACACCTAAAACGTTTAGGGAAGCCTACTATACAACAGAATGTATGTATATTATAAATACAGTCAAAAGTCGTTAATCCGAACTTGTCGGGACTTCGATACCGGATTATCGATTTTTCTGGATTGTAGATCATCAGTTTAAATCTGGTAAGATGGCATGCAGAAATTGTAAAATTAAAAATATGAAACCGTGATTTATGAAATAAAGAACAATTATAATCTAAAGGGTATCAAAATTTACAAAAAAAAAAAAAAAAAAAAAAAAAAAAAAAGCTTAATATTTGTTTGTTTACTTTATTAAACATTTCTTTCAATGTAAGTTGTTTAAGTTGCTTCGTTTTGTGTGATAATACTTTCTCTTTAATTCTATAAACATACATAATTTCTTGTTCAGTTACAAAGTTCCGCTGTTCAAGTCTTATAATTGCTGTGTCAAGAATACCGACTAATTTGTCAATCGAAATTTTTTCGTTTTCAATAACCTCTGTGTCACTTTCTTCACTATCGAAAGCGAATTATAATGATGAGGAATTTGATTTAAATTATATCAAAGACGGAGTACATCGAGATGAAATACTACATTTAGTAAGGAAGTTATAAGCCGAATAAAATAAAAACATCTGCCCTGATGATAAGGGTAGTGCTGATAAATCAACTTCCAATTCATTGTGCGCCTGCGACGTTCCCCTCCCCCGCAGAGCAGCGTGAAATTGATAAACAGATTTCGGAATGGTTAGAGAAACAAAGAATATGCCTTTGTCCATTTTTTGCAGCAATTCCACTTTTTGTTTGATGGACATCGAAATATACTTTCGCTTTGTAGATCCTTTGGGAGCTCCAGCATCGGAAATTCTATTTGACATAATCGAAAGTTCAAGCTTACTTTTATAAAATTGCTCTAACAGTCTGCAAAAAATAATAAGCTGGATCCAATTAGAAGATTAAGGAACAACACAATCTGCAACTTTAACTGAAATAGATAATTAGATAATTTTATCCTAGCTTATACCGTCCGTTATACATTAAACGCACATGCGTAAACGTATTAAGTGTGTGTGCACACGCATATGCACAGCTGACGCATGCGCAAAAAGTTTGTAGCTTTGAGGTTCGGATTATAGATATATCCGGATTATGGCTGTCCGAATTAACGACTTTTGACTGTATATACAATTATTGTATTTTTGATGTTAAAAATATCTTTAGCAGTGCCTTTCCAAAATTTTTGTGCTGTTGTATTGTGCTACTATGCATTTATTATCAGTGTAACTTATTAAATGTTGCCATGACATGAAACATAAGATTTTATATTTATCGTCTACACAGCCTGAAGAGTAGGCAGATCCTAGCATTGTGTTTATTATTGTGAATTATTATGTGAATTTCTAAAATTTTTATCATTCAAATTAAAGAGTGCTTAACAAAAAAGAGTGATAAAATAATAAATGCATTTATTAATAATTTATATTTATGTACATTTTAATGATATCTCTGATTATTGTAATTTAAAATGTATAAAATTTGTAATGTATCTAGTTGATAATTTTTATGAACATTTGCAGAGTTATTTTAAATAATAAAAGTTTTTTTAGTAATATATATTATGCACCTCGATAGAGATTTTGTAAAGATATTTTTGTGATACGTATACACACATTTAATTTTTTTAAATCTGTTTCATTTGGAAGATCTAATTAAGTTACTTTGCCGTGCACTGCATATTATGTTTGGTAGCTGCTTCTGTTTCTGAGGTTTTTAAAATTCTTAATATATATTATAGAAATTCCAGACTATTTTAAAAGAAGCATGGAATCGAGATGGATCTCCTTTTAAAGGGCATCCCTATGATCCTGGACTTGTGAACATTCAAAATGCAGACAATATGATGTAATTCTATCCAAGGTGAATAGAGTTTTGATTTTTTGAAATTATAAACTGGCAAAATGCATTTTATACTGATTTGTAAGTATTTATGCATTAAATTTTATCAAGACAACACAATTAATATTTAATGTGCTACCATGCAAGATACTTCTCTTGATTTTTCAACAGATGAAAGGAAATATTAGGAATAGGTAACTTATGAAGTTGCTCATGCAAGTATTTGATGAATTAGAATAAAAAAGGTACAAGTTTAAAAAAGTTTTTTCAGTATGAAATCTAATGCAGAGTGAATGTGGAAATAGAGTACAATAAGAAAGTTGCATTATTCTTGACACAAATTGTTCATTTATATGGAGAAAGTTATTACAGTCAAAAGTCGTTAATCCGGACTCGTCGGGACTTCGGCGATTCCGGATTATCGATTTTTCCGGATTATAGATCATCAGTTAAAATCTGGTAAAATGGCATGCAGAAATTATAAAATAAAAAATATGAAACCGTAATTTATGAAATAAAGAACAATTATGATCTAAAGGGTATAAAATTTTACAAAAAAAAAAGAAGCTTAATATTTATTTGTTTACTTTATTAAACATTTCTTCTATGTAAGTTGTTTAATTTGACTTCATTTTATGTGATAAACATTCTCTTTAATTCCATAAACAGACATAATTTCTTGTTCAGTTACAAAGTTCCGCTGTTCAAGTCTATAATTGCTGGTGTCGAGAAACCGACTAATTTGTCAATCGAAATTTTTTCGTTTTCAATAACCTCTGTCACTTTCTTCGCTATCGGAAGGCGAATTATAATGACGAGGCATTTGATTTAAATCATATCAAAGACGGAGTACATTGAGAGGAAATACCCACATTTAGTAAGCAATTATAAGCCAAATAAAATAAAAAACATCTGCCCTTAAGATAAGGATAGTGTTGACAGATCAACTTCCAATTTATTGTGCTCCGCTGCGGCGTTAAAGATAAACAAAGTTTAGATAAACGAACGTTAAAGTTTAGATAAACAAAGGATATGCCTTTATCCATTTTTTGGCAATTCCACTTTTTTGTTAATGAACTTCCGAAAGATACTTTCGCTTTGTAGATCATTTACATATTAGTAAACATATATCAGAAATTCTATTTGAAATAATCGAAAGTTCAAGCTTACTTTTATAAAATTGCTCTAACAGTCTGCAAAAAATAATAAGCCGGATCCAATTCGAAGATTAAGGAACAACGCAATCTGCAACATTAACTGAAATAGATAATTAGATAATTTTAGCTTAGCTTATCCCGTCCGTTATACATTAAACGCGCATTCGTAAACGTATTTTGCGCACGCGCACACGCAAATTCTCAGCCGTAAAGGTCTTATGCGCATGCGTCAACGTGACGCATGCGCAGAAAGTTTGTAGCTTTGAGGTCCGGATTATAGATCATTCCGGATTATGGGTGTCCGAATTAATGACTTTTGACTGTATTTAGTTATTAGTTAAAATAGTATTGTTATATGTCTAATATAAAATATAAATGTAACTAACATAAAGTCATTATTACATTTTCAACCACTGCTGTAATCTAAATTGATTACAATGGTAGATCAAAATGCATTGTATTGCCATAAATAGTTAAATGGTTATTGGAGTTTGAATGGTGTTCACCATTGGACTTGGGTTTGATTGCTAAAGTATGGGCTTTTGTAACTGTAATGTCTTTGCAGTACAGGAAACTTAAAATTGTTCAATGCTGAAGATTGGTGGCAGAAGAAGAGAGGAATTCCACTTCTTTTGGGTGTTTTAATTAACATTCATATAGAGCTAAGTAGATGGTCTTTAGGATTTTGTTTTAGTTACCAAATCTTAATTTGTCCTTTCACATTAGCACACATCCTTTTTCGTGCGATAGTTCATGCCATGTGACATAAAGGAACCAGAGTTGTCATCTGATATATACAGTTTTTATTCCTTATCCATGGTCCATACAGTTTTCCTTATCCGAGGGTTTTATATGCATGAATTGTATTCTTATCTTAATGAAATGATTCTAAACTCTTAAAGTCTAATGGCTGTATCTGGTTTGTCCTTGCCATTCAAATTGTTTAGTAAAATGTTGATCTAAAGGGTTGTGTGCAGTGATGTTGTAACATTGTGCTGTCCCATCATGTAGGAATAAAGGTAAAAAAATTAATAAAGTTTGTTGTAAAAGATATTTGTAGGAAGAAATTTGTCACTTAACATGGCCATATAACTGTCACATGTCACTGCGTTTTCAGAAGAAGAAAGGCCTCTAAACAAGAACAGTGCAAATTTTACACCTTAATGCCACAGTTTTTTTACACCTTTTTCAGTCTGTAATGCAGCAGTTGTGGATAATAAATAATTACAGTTTCAAACATGGCAATTTACAGATAGTGTAAATGCTGTTGTGGTTATTAAAATGCCCATTCAATTTTTTTCCTGCTTTTAATTAGACCAAAAATTAGTTTCAAGAAGTAGGCCATTTTCCCAAATTTGTCAGAAATTATTTTCCTTAACTGAAATCGCGCGTTTAGATCATCCTCAGTCATGTCAAATGCCAGGTAACGTTGATATATCTAAGTTGAAACATTTTAAACATTCTTTTCAGAAATCTTCTGAAAACGCCATATTTGTATATAACTCGCTAGAAAGACCTTTTCTAAATTTCCCTCAAATGCTGATTCTATAATTTATTTTATTTGGTTTTAATGAAGTTGGCTGTTCCTGCTGTTCATGGATCTCAGAGTAATCCTATTTCTTCCGAGTATTCGGTAAAACTGAATACAAAGTCACATTTTATTACTCAAAGTTTCTTGTAAATTGGTGCCAAGTCACTTCAGATCTTGAACTGATTCAGTTTCTTCAAACTGCTTGATGAGATTGAACATCATGACTTTTTTTACCCAGCGAAAGTCTTTTAAAAACTGGTGGGTTTTTACAGATCCTGGATTAATTCAGTATCATCAGACTGTTTAATGAAATTGAACACGATGTTACATTTCATCACCCAATGAAAATCCTTTGGAAATTTGTGTCCCTTACCCTAACGAAACTGTAATGATTCTCATTGGTTGCTGAATTGATTTATTTTCTTCAAACTTCTTGATGAAATAGAACACAATGTCACATTTTGTTATCCAATGAATTGTGCTGTGAAATGACTTGTCAACAGTCTATGGAAATTCTTTATTAACTGATATCAGGTCTTTTTCTTTTATCTTTTTTTTTAATTGTGGACTGCAAAGTGCTTGTTCAAGTTGAATGCTAAGTGATATGTTGTCATGACGCAAAAATCCTTCGCAAACTCATGGTATGTCTGTTTAGATTATAGACTGATTGTTTCTTCAAACTGCTTGATGAAAGTGAATTCATTGTCTTGATTTGTCATCTAGCAAAAGTACCAAAATAAGTGTTGGTCTATCTCTTGTGTTCAGTTTTTGTAATGATGTTTGTAATGGATATGACTTTTTCTTTCTATATAGTATATCAGCGTTTCATTGTCCAGTCAGTAATGTCCATTAGTTCTGATATAAATATAAGATAATTAAAATATAAGATGCAAGTATATTTGCAGCATATAAATCATGTTATAGTAAACATTGTACTGTTGCTTCATTAATTTCATGCCACTATGCACAAAATACTCAGATTTTCTCTGCCTGATCAAATAAGAAAGGAGTTTTAGTGCAGATGAATGTTTGGAGAGAATTTTTCACGTGTTGGTAGATAACTGCTTTTGTGTTTGACTGCCATTTTATCTGGAAGGTGAACATTATTGTTAATTTCAAAACATACTTTTAAAGGTGATTATAATAATTAAAGGTTCCTTTGTTAGAAACTTGAATTTGAGATTATGATGTAAGAGTAAAATTGTTCTTTTGCTTTTCAATTATTACCTGCCCTCTTCAGCCACTTGCTGAAGAAGTGAACAACATGCAGAAAGCATTCATATGACCAATGTTCTTTTGTTGTTTTGAAAGTAGCTATAAAAAGGAATGTAAGATTGATAGAGAAAACCTTTTGGGAGTACACTCGTATGTATCTTTCATGCAGTTATGTTCAGAAGGGTCTTAGGAACTTGCGAGTTAAATTTAAGTAGGAAAACGAAGAAAGGTGCTTGGGAGAATTTATGAGAATTCTTCCTACTCAGAAGTTGCTAATTCTACAAATAACACAGAAGTCAATTTATTTCCCTTTTAATAGATCAAGTCATTGTTATTGGAAGGAAATTAATTTAATTTGGAACTTGATACAGAATATATTTTACAATTCTTGAATTTCAAAGTCATTAACGTATTCTAAATGATTTTGGAAAATTTAAAAGTCAAACCACTTTTAAAGAAATTCAGGAATTTTACTGTAACATTGCAGAAAAACCCCTGATCATTCCAAATTTAAATGAAGGATTAAATTTCATTGAAGCTGGATGTTTGAAGATATTCATCCAGATGAACTATGAGTACCAAAGTTAAAAAAAAAATAAGTATCCTTTCCTCCTTGAAAAACTTTTAAAAGGAAAAGAGGAATGGTCCAGTTTCATTGTAGGATTTCTTAGTTTACAGTTTACATTACAAAAGGCCCATGTAATTTTGAATTTTGCTATTGTAGTATAATTTGTATATATTTGTGAATAATAACTATTTTTACTTCAAGTATAATTGAATATGATTTTTAGTTTCTTCATGAAAATTAAGTATCCAGCACAATACTCTTTATTTTATAGAACCCATAGGATAATTTATTGCTAGTTCTGTCATTGTTCTAGGCCTGTTAGTGCAATTTTGGAGTATTGCTCAATAGTGATTTTAATTACAATTACAGCTGGAAATATTGATCTACTTACCTTCAACTTTGAATTTTCTTCTCGTATATGAATTCTGTTTTAGAATATTGGTTTGAGGTTTCATCTGAAATGCATTCCATTTGATACAGTGAATATGTTATATGTTATTTTGTTGTTGAAAATTTGATTTTTTTTATAAAGAATGTTGTACATATTATT